TTAAGTTGACCACGCTGTTATTTTGGATTTTTCTTTCCCTTTAGTCTCAGCTCTTAAGCTCACTGCCTAGATGGCTAGTAACTAGGACAGAATCACAGATGTGGCTTTGCAAATTTTCCTGGAGTAGATTTGATAATTGAAATCCGTACTTAGGTCAATACCACATTTTGTTTAATTACTTAACCTTCAACTCTGTAGGCAACACATGTCTTCAACAATTAACCTGTCTTTTCTAAATTGTCAACTCCCTGAGCCCAACAGATGTACCTTGAGAAGAAGAGTTACATATTCAAATTTAGCAGTCCCTCTCTTAAGATTCCCAGTGCGCATATTACCTTTTTCTGAAACCTCAGTTAGCATCTAAGGACATACTTTGAGTGATGCTAATTTAGAATGTTCTTTCAAAAAATAATGTACCTTGACCATGAAACTTTCATTATTGTGTGGAAATGTTATACTCTCGCATAACTGAAAACTCCTCCAGGAGTAGGGCAGATTTCCAGTAAAGCTTGATCTAGTAGTTCGCATGATATCACCAAGACCCAGTTTCTCTAGGCTCTCCACTGGCCTCATGCTGTCTCTACACTATGGACTCTCTGCAGTTACTTCTTCCAAAAAAAAGAAGGAAGAGAAGAAAAAAAAAGCCTTCATTTGTAGCATTTGTGATTTCTATGGTGTAAATACTCCCAACATGGCCTAAAATATGATGTCACTGAATGCAGAGTGGTCTGTGCAATCAGCTCTCATGAAGCAGTTAAGGGTCAGCTCCAACTCACTCTGGCAATTGTAGCTCAGTGTTCATATTTTCACATCACCAAGTCTTGGGGGCCAGTCAGAGTTTCTTCTGGTAGCTCTTGAGGAAAGAGGAGGAAATGTCTTTCCCCTAAAACATTCCACTAATATTTGCCAGTTATCTCATGAACTCTGATCGGTTTACACATACCAATCCTTGATGCAATTTCTAGGGAAATCAGATAGACCAATTGGCTTAAGCTAGTCCGGGGCTCACTCTTTGATCTGTGATCATGCCACCCAAATATTTGTCCATTTGGATAGAGCAGAGTGAAGTCCTCGTTCAGAAACAAAGGGACTGCTAATTTAAAAAAAGGGAAGGAAGGAAGGACAGAAGGAAGAAAGAAAGGACAGAAGGAAGGAAGGAAGGGATCAAATAACTGCCGCTAGAGCATAAAAAACACTATTTAGATTAAAATATCAGCACTATACTTTATTGCAAGCTCTATGAAGACAGAGGCATTTCTGTCCCCATCGTCTTTTTATTGATACTACTGATAAATGTACAATAAATAGTTATTGAATGAAAGTTAAAACTCAAATATTTTTGATCGGATGAATGAAAAAGTCAAAATTTTTACACAAATAACTTAGTTAGTGGCTTCTCATTATTAAAATTCTCCTTAGATCTTGATACTTGGACCAGTATCAGCCTTAATAGTTTTGTAAACGATCCTGCTACTTAAAGTAGTTAACACCCCCAAAATGATCCACAGCCATTAGATTAAATTCTAGCCTATGACGGGTTATGCTGAGGTACTAGTATATTTTTCTGGGTTTTACTATGAGAATTGGACTATTATCATGTAGCAAACAATGCTACTGTCATAAAAGAACCTGTTTTAGGATGTTAATAGGCGTTTCACTCACTGCACCATCTAACTAATGGAGCATGCAAGATTGTACAGTGCTCAGCCATACATGATGTCAGGGGAAACAAAGATCAACCACTTAAAGATCCATCTGTGTTCATTCACAGGTACTGCTTCAACGTCAGCAGGTCACTATTGATTAATTTAAGGGCTTTTTCTATCTTTTGGGGGAGATTTGAAATAATTTATAAGTAGCAAACAGACAAGCATCTTCTGTTTATTTCCTTTCCATATAGCATCTTTGCAAATGTTAAAATAGCTACTCAATTGTTTTCTCCCTAGAGTCCTGTGTATTTTGTGGACTATGTGGAGATTAATAGCAGACTACAATAATCTGTTGTCCTTTGTGGAAAAAACTATGCTGCTGTTTCTGGAAAGAAATAATTGGTACGTAGCTTATAGAGCCAATGTCTGAATTTAATAGAGCATAAAGGGGTGGTATTTCTCGTGAAGGAAGCATATTATCCGTTTAAACAGCTTTCAGTCTTGCACATAAATTAGGCCTTCGACAAGCTTTGGAAAAACGGAAACCACACAGTAATAAATTAACATGCTTGCATATTCCTAACAAAAAAACCATCTCTTTTGAAAAGAAGAGAAAGCTCCAGTGTCTCTGCTACATTTGGAAATCTGAAATTAATTATTGACTTTTCCATATTGTTTGCAGCCACTTTGTTTGCCCATTTATCGTAAAATGTATATATGGTAATTGTTTTACGGGAGCTCATAAAACTCAGACTGCAAATGAGATAATGTATGACCAATTTATCGCATATGCCCTTCAGACATAGAGCTAAACCTGGCACAAATGAAAAGTGGTCAATGCACACTTTGTCAAGGTCCTTTCTTACGGCACCAGGGGAAGAAAATGAAATGGTAAAATTCTCAAATAGCTGCAATTGAAAAACATTTTATATTTTTCTCTAAAATATTCCCTTTACCACTTAAAAAACCAATTTAGGGTGGTTTCTAGAATTCATCTTGGTATGTTTATGCTAAAAATGACAATAATTTTTGAATATGGAACTTGACAAACTCTTTTCCCATCTAATATATCTAATACCACAATTTCTATTCTTTGAAAAAAATTGAACATATATCAGTTGTTAAACTTGCAGTAAATTTAAGGAAAAATGAATATGAAACATACTTTTCAAGTTATCATTCTCTGTATATTACAACAGCTGGGTCAACTAGGAGGAACCTCATTCAATTAAGCCCCAGCCCCCAGGCAAGACTGCCCAACACTCACAGAGGTGACCACTAATGTCCTTCAGAAATGGAGATTCCATACCTTATTTAGCTGCTTATTCCAGTAGTTAAAGTCAGTAATTCATTCCACCAAGATCTTCTTTCCTCCACTGAATTGAAACCTTCCTGCCTCACAGTTGACCCATTCAGCTTCCTCTTATGTCATTAGGTAGCAAATAGGTAGATAGTAAATTTTGTTGAGACCTTTTTTTAGAACCTCTTGAAAGATATAACAGAATTTGGTTAGCTTCCCAATGAACTGATCGATAACCTAATACAGCTGTAATGCTGAAAAGAGATTGTACTTAAGTAGGAAATATTTACTTAATATACTAAAAAAAATCAGGAGGAAACTCAAACATTTCAAGACAAGATGACAAATAGAACTCTGCAAATAGACAAAGATACAAATGTAAAATTTTATATTAGTGAAAGGTAGTATAACGCAAAGGATTACCAACAATAAGAACTAGTTGTTAAAGGGTGGTGACTGTGAAGTTCAAATTCACCTAAGAGTTTCTCCCTTGACTCTATACTTTGAAGACAAATCTGATCCTACAAGAACCAGAATTAGAACTGAATGTAGTGCCATATATTTAGGCCACAATGCCTCACCCACTAAGTGTCAGTTTTTCAGAAATATGACAATTCATTAGGCACAGGAACAGTGTGCCTTTTATTTTATTTTATTTTATTTTTGGCTAATAATGGATGAGAGAGAGCTTAGTGGTTAAAAGAAAATAAGTAAGGAAGCAGTCAAAACGGGGTTAAGAATGCAAGCTCTACCACCTGGAAACTCTGTGGTCTGGTGCAAAATACCTAACTACCCAGTCTGTTCTTTCATCTCTAAATGGGAATAATAATACCAACCTCTTAGTGTAAGAATTTTATAAGATCCTGCATGTAAGGACTATAAAACACTATTTGACACAGACTACATGTTCAGTGATGTTACTTGTTTTTGTTGTTGGCTGTTGTGTTCTCGTAGTTGTTTTTATTGTTATATTTTAATTTCCTTTGAAGGGAGCAAAGGAGTAACACCATGTTTGTCTGGGATTTATTTAAGGTAAACTAGATTAACATCTGTGCCTTTTTATACACAATATCAAAGAAAATTGAGGTCATGAGGACTTGCGATAATCTATTTGAACTGTTTAGTGCATGTCCGGCACATGGTAGGCATGTAATGAGTGATAGCTCTTTTTACTTCCCTCACAATCTTCCACTCCATGACTCTCCCATATCTAGGGTCTAAATTCTACCACCCACCTTGTAGTATCCTAGAATTTCCTGCTTTCCAGGAGGCCAGAGCCATACTAGCAATATATTAGAAAAGAAGTAACTGGTGCTCTGAAAAGGCTGCAAAGCAGCCTTAATTTCTTCAAATAACAAAGATCATTCTTATTCCAAGAACCTTAAACTGAAGGAAAAACATGTTTATTTGGTCACCTCCGTGTAGGCGGTCTGAGAGGGCAGCGCATGGTAACTGCGGTTATTTTCTTATATGTCACACAGTTCATCATCAGTGCTTTCAAGATATGCCTGCTAAAGGACCCTGGTGTTATTGGAGTCTCACTCATCAGCATACATTCCTCATCTACTGCTTCTAGACTCCTTGCTCCAGACTCTCTGTAAGAAGAATGATATAAAAAGGTTATATACCATGGCTGGAGAAATCATCCTCAGAGAAAGGTAGCCTAAATTTCTGAGAAATTATCATTTATATCAAAATTATCAATGATATCAATTATATATAGACATCAATTGCTAATTTTCAATAATACTGCTACCATCAGGGACTGGGACCCCAAGTGACTCGGTATTCCAGGCTTATCTTACCTCCTCCAGAGAAGCAGAGTTTTGGTTAACCAGTTTTTAAGGTCCTATGAGAGCCCTTCCTTGAGATACTGTTGCAAGGGTCAGGAGAGGTGTGAGAATTTACTAAGGACACAAGAAAGGGAGAGCGCTAAACAAACACTTTTCCTGAGATATCTCCCTGTATGGAACTCTGTGTGAGCTCAAGACTTCTCTCTCTCTCTCAGTGTTCTACATTCAGAACTCAGGTATCTGCTCCCCAGCTGGCAGTTCTCTCTCTCTGGAATGAAGGATAAAAGTCAAGGAACAACTGAAGATCCTTAGGGAAATGAGAATGCCTGGAAGCGGGATGGAAACGGAGGGAAAGCTGGAGTCAGACTTTCCAGGAAAAGGCTCTTATTCCTGGATTTTTGAAGGAAAGGGAACTAGGTGAACTAGTTGCCAGGACAACCTGCTGTTGGTGGGGGGCGGTTGGGGCAAGGAAATGGGAGAACTGTGGTTGCTCCTGCTCCTGCCCCTGACCGCCTTCCACGGGGTCAAAGGCTGTTTAGAATGTGACCCCAAATTCATAGAGGATATTAGCTCCTTGCTGGCAAATCTGCTACCCTCAGAAGTCCCTGGCCGAACTCATCTGCTTGAACGGCAGATTAAGGAGATGACCCGTTTAAGTTTCAAGGTCTCCCACAGGGACAAGATGCTTCGGGTGTTGGGTGAGGGAAGCTCGAGTCCCTGAGCGTTTGGGGGGCTAAAGGGACAAGGGAGGCGGGGAAGAGAGGACGTGGGTCCACATAATTTCCTCCACAGATGTAATTATTCTCCCACATGGACCTTTATCTCTTCTCTCTAGCTGTTCAAAAGGTTGTCAAGTTGAGAACATGGCTGAAGGATGAACTTTATAAACTGGGCAATGAAACATGGAAAGGTGAGGTACTACTTCACTGTTAAAAGATTGTATTGTGCAAGCCAGTATGAGGAAAGTTCGCTGGGGAAAACAAGGCGAAACATTTAGGATTAAATTCTGAAGAGAAGGGCCACCCCTATTTTCTGATGTCCCTTCCACTCCCTCCCTCCTAGGTGCCTTTATCCTTCAAGGGAAGCTTCTCGATGTCCGCCAAAACCTGGAATCCACACTGAAAGAAATATTAAAGAACTTCTCTGAAGTTGGTAATAAAAGATGTCTATCTAACAACACTGAAATTATGTGAAAGGGATAGGAAATGAGGAGTGAGAGGAGGAATGTGGTTTCATATTAGAGTGATTTAGAATGGGTGGAGAGATGCTGGAACTTAATGGGTAACCAGATAAAGACTACTTGGGTATAAATATGGTAAACTCTAAGTTGATTCTAAACTCATTAGAACTTTCTGACTCTCTTTTAGCTTGTTCTGAAGATTGTGGTAAGTACAGTACATGTGACGCCTTGAGGTTTAAGCCCATATTTTCCCATCTCCTTTGCTCTACATGGCCCTATCTCTCCCACCTGTTACACTGAGAACGCAACTCCTACAGTTGTGGTTACAAGAGAGAACATCAATGATATCCGATAACGAAATCTAGTTTATGAAATCTCAGACACTCCATAGATTTTGGAGGTTCTCAGAAGCCTTCTAAAGTATAGTTTACAACCCATAACACCAACATAAGCTGAGGCATCATTTTTTCCACTTTTTCCCTGAGATCTGACTTATATTGTAGAAGGTTTTGACCCATCAAGAAACTTGATTGCTAGGGAAAGAAGGAATTCATGGCAATGTAACCTTAAGAGTCCTGGAAATCCCTTAGATCTAATCCATACTTGATGTCTGAGCTAAGGAAACTCCATGCCATGGCTCTCTTGAAATTGCCTTTCTTCTCTTTATCAGTCGTAACTGAAGGTCCTATTCTGGATTGTTGGACCTGTCTTCGCCTCACCACCCGGTGCTTCAGAGGAGAGTATTGTGGAGGTAACAAAGACTGTGGTGTGGCATTTTGAGGGGCCAGGGATCAAGGTACTGAGTCATTCATTGATTTATTCAACAAATATTTGTTGAGCACCTTCTATGCACGTCATGCTAATGTTACAAATAAGAGCTAAAAGAGCTGGGCAAAATTTGTACCAGTATGAATTACTGGACACTGGACCAATTGAAGGGCTGAGAAATGAAAAGCCTGGACTAAAGGTGGAGAAATAGGCTAGGGGCAGTAAGAGTGAAAGTTTTGTAGAGCCTTGGGATCTAAGAGTGATAAAGATCAGAATAAATAGAGAACAGTGGTGGAGTGGTGAACAGAGCAAACTGAGGTGAAAGAGAGTCTTCTATTGTGGATAAAATTCTCAAATTACTATTTTTATTCTTCAAAATTCACTTTCTTTGTCCCCCTTTCTCCTTCCAGAAGAGGATTCAACGAAAGCCGAGAATCGAGAAATTGCACTATTTCTGATATTGCTAGCAGAAGCTGTAATATTGGGAAGTGCTTTGTTACTGTGAGTTTTCCTCCCTCCAAACAAACACTGGGTCAAGCGTTCCTTTGGCAAAGAGATTGCCCAAGCTTCCCCCTCCTTCCAATGGAAATAAGGTGGAAGAAGTCATTTCAAAATTGGGGATCTAATACTGACAGGAATGAAATGGATGGAAGTTTGATGGAATATAAGCTGGAACATAGGAAATAGAGGAGGTACAATGAAGTATGAGGAAAATTTTAGAGCCATATCCAGAAAAGGAAGAAAGAAAAACAAGTGTATAATTATTTTCAAGTGTTGGGCTACTAATATTGAAGTTGGAATTATCTTGTTTCTCTACTCTAGATTCTATATTTGTGTCTCTCATCAGAGGAAAATGAAGGCAATACGAAGGTCATTAAAGAAATATTTGGAGAAGAAACTTGAAGAATTAATGGGGATGATAGATGAGAAGGAGGAGAAGGAAGATTTTGGAATCAGAAAATAAATACATAGACACAGACAGGAGGTCTTTCATAATTCTCTAAAGTGTTGACTCAGAGTAGAAAACCGGAAATTAAACTCTTTTGTGGTCATAAAGTCATAGTATTTTAAAACTGAAACAGAACTTTCTGTAGTAAAAATCCTTATTGACATCCTGAAGCAATGGAAGCAATGAGAGGGCATATGATTCACCACAAGTTGTACGGAAAGTAATGCTGGTGTGTTGCAATGCACATAAAAGATGATACGCTGCATGATAATAAAGAATGCATGGTTGGTAATTCTCATTGACGGATGTAATAAGGATAACTTTTATATTTCCAAGGCTGATTTTTAGTTCTATCTTTTCATTTAGTTACTGTTTCCATATTTATCATTAGGTTCAGTGTGGACAATTTTTCTTTGATATTATATAATATTTAATCTTCATCATGATATAGCACACTCACACACACACAAATTGCAGAATATTAGTCCTCAGTAGTTGAGGTTTGTCCCATTTTTCCCTAAATCTATGCTCCGTGGCTGAATTGGATATTGATTTCTGATTCTTCTATTGTTTCTATTGAATACTTTTTATGTTAGTGCTTTACATCTACTAATTGAATTCTCACAATAATATTGTGAGTAATATTGTTGTTATTTCCATGTTAGCGATGAGAAAACACGAAAATATCTAACTCAAGGTCACACAGCTACAAATCTAGGCTATGACAAACTCCTCTGGGGACTGACCTGTGCTTATCCAAACCATTTGATTGGAAGTGACCTCTATAGAAGTATAGCTATGATAGATAGATTAGTGGAGAGATAAATGTGGTTTTATTGTCTTAACATATTCTTGATTACAGACAGTAGTGACAAAGCCTGGAGTAAAACTGAGGCCTAGCTAACTCTAAAATACATGAACTTTCCATTCTATTTGGTTTCCTTTCACTCTGGAAGCTTATTTCAAAAAAAAAGCCACGACAGTTTGGCAGCAGGGGAATAGCTTCGGGAGTTCTGCTTCACTGGGGGGACGGGGTATTTGCAAATCTTTCACCTGCTGTAGGTCTTTGAGGGCTTGCATGTTGTTGCTGCTATATTAATGAAATATTGATTGAATGGGAACGTATTCGGAGAGGACCTGAACACTGATTTCTCTCAGTTGCTAAATTTGAACTTCATGTTAAAAATTCCCAGATAAGAGTGCTGTTGGCATCTACCATTTCTCAATGACTTTAGGCTCATTTCACCAAAAAATCTTGAGACATATTAACTTCATTTATGGTCTTAATCCAATTATTGTCTTTATGTTGTTTTATTTTTCATTATAGATAATTATATAAATAGGTTTTGTTAGTTTTTGTTTGCTCTAATGCAGGCTTTTAAATTTCTTGTCCTATCAGCTTATTGTCTTCCCCTGACTCCTCTCCTACTTCATTCTCATCACTCCATTCTAGAAAACCTAGGTTAACAAGTCAGGAGATGTCTCTCATTATTTTATCCAAACCTAAATAGTTATAAGTAAACAGATATAAATGCTTACATACAAATACATTTACACATGCAATTAAAAATTATGCACAGTTTTATGCATGCTGATATTTACACTTAAATACTTCGTGGAAGTTATTTTAAGATAACTGGTATAAGTCTATTCACTCTTTTTTGTGGTTGTACACAAAACTATGGTGTGGTGGTACCATAATTATTTCAACATTCCTCTATTTGGGGTAGTCTCCTCTTTTCCTTTTTTTTGTCACTATGAAAAATGCTGCAATAAACATCTGTCTAGACACAGCCCTACTTACTGATACTTTCATTTGTAAGAGATAGTGTTACAGAATTGGGATATCTGAAGTGAAAGTTATATGTACTTTGAAATATAATAAATATGTTGAAAGGTTGTAATAATTTTCAAATATATCAGTAATAACCAAGAGACCATGTTTGCCACATACCCAAAGGCAATAGGTTGTACATATCTTTTAAGTTTTGCCAGTCTGATAAATATGATAATTAATCTACTTTTATCTGTTAGCGTGTTGCCATCTTTTAGAATGATTCAGTGCCATTTAAATGGACCCTACATTGAATTGCCTATTCATATACTCTGCTAATTTCGGTTTGAGTTCTCTTCGTCTTGTCAATTTAAAAGAAGCCTTCCATAATATAGACATTAACTCTATCATCTCCCTTGCAGATATAAAGTACTATTTTTCCCAAATCTATCCTTTATCTGTTGAATACTTAAGGTGTTGTTTTAGCTATTTATCTACCCACTTATTTCCACTTCTAAGTCTTTAATACCTATATAACATAAAATAAAAACTCATTGATTTTTGGATAATCATCCTATATCCAGTCACTTAACAAATCTGTTTCTTAATTTTATTTTTTAAAAATATCTTATATTTTCTAGGTATTCAATTCTATTACTATCCAAAACAAGTGTTTTATATATATTCTTCTATTATTTATACCAATTATTTTGCTTTCTTATCCTAGTGCATTTGCAACAACTTCTAAAACAGTGCTGAAAAATAATCGACAGTTATTATTTTAGTAAGAATCAGAACTTGATCACAGCATAAGTACAAGTCTTAAAACAGCAACTATCAGGGAAGTTGCTGATAGAACACATTAACTCTTAAGGTTGTATAGTTGTAAGTATAAATTATTATACTGGAATTATTCCATAACAACCTGACACTGTATTTGATTACTGGTTATAATGGCTTCTTTGGAGTTAAAAAAATCCAGTCCTCTACAGAACTCTGATATGCAAGGGTTTTTAGATAATATCACTGTCCTGAAAAGGCCAAATCTCAAATTCCTTCATTAATTGGTTATAATATTTGAAAATAAGTTAGATGAATCCTCATCAGTAATATGACTTATTTGTCCTCTTAGTCCCAGAAAATACAAAGACTGTCTGAGGGCAGGAGAAAATGGATGTCACAGGTCACAGAGAGAGAGATAATGTGCCTTTTCTCTGCCTTTTTGTTCTATTGGGGCCCTCAATGGATTGCATGACGCCTACCCACATTGATGAGGGCAGTTCTTCTTTACTCAGTCTATTGATTCAAATGTTAATCTCTTCCAAAACACTGTCACACACACACCCAGAAATAATGTGCCCCAAATATCTGGGCATCCTGTAGCCCAGTCAAGTTGATATACAAAAATAACCATCACAAAAACATTACCTATCAAATCTTGTGAAGAGTGGCTAATATATGCATTTGAGGCTATGACCTTTTATTCATGATATATCATAAAGAATTAAAAATATAGAAAAATATTTAATAGGGCATTCAAACTAAGTATCTAGGAAGAAACAAAGTAAACTCAAAGAATATACAAAGAGGGGAAATTAGATTGCATCATAAATTAATGAAATGGAAAGCAGAAAATATAGAGATAACATCAGATGCTAATAAAAAAAGTCTTCACATTGAACGAAATTTTTTTAAAAAGATATACTAAAAAGGTAGGAATAAAAGGAGTAAAACTATAGATAGAACTTTTTTTATCTTAAGAGACTCTTAAAAACTATATGGCAATAATATTTAAGACTTGGATAAAATTGATACTTTTTTTTTTAAATTTTTTGTTTAGTGCAGTAACATTGGTTTATAACATTGTAAAAATTTCAGGTGTACATCATTATACTTCTATTTCTGCATAGACTTCATCATGTTCACAACC